CCCGCCAGCCGTCGGGGAAAGTCGGGGCGGAGAGGCGAGGATTGACGTAGCGGTGCAATGCTGCTAAGCCGCCATTTTCCAGCCTCGGTCACGGCCGCCCCGGGACAAGGAGAAGAAAGTTTGCGGGCAACGGGCCGGTCATGTGGTGCAGGCGGAGCCAGGGATTGGGAGGCCCTGCCTGGATAGGAAACCCAGGCGGTCGCTAGGACGGGAAGGAGGCTGCCTCGGCGGCCACCGAGCTACCGCCGTTAAGCATCCTTCCTCGGCCTGGGAAGGTCCATTTCCCCTCCTCTTGAAAAGTCGCTTCCCTTCATGAGAATGACCTCTTCCCGCTTCTGAAACCGCCCCCCATTGCTTCACCTTTCCATGCCATTAGCCACAAGTAGCCGCACTATGGAGCGGCCCAAGGGTGACACGTCATGCTTTTCACCTGTGTAGGAAAGAAGACGGTTGGCGCGGCTGCTTTCCTTTTGAAGAAGAGAGTCAATGTTGGCGTCCATTTTAGTGTTGGACCTATCTGAAAGCATGCAAAATGATTAATTCCAGGACCAAACAAATTTCTACAGTTGTAGATTCCACAAGCAATTCTTGCAGATTTCGATTTTGTTTATGAGCAGGTAATTGCCCTTCTAAATAAGGCAAGTTTGTGCACTGAATGAATGTTGAGAAATGGTTAATAACGTCTTTTTTTAGGAGAGGAACATATCATTTGAAAGATGAAGGCAGATAGTACCACTGCCTGCAGATATGGAAGCATCCATCACCTCATGGATCCAACTAGATATCACCTCCTGGGAAATGTGGCAGCTGAGGCCAAGAGAGCCATTGCCCAGATTCATCCATTGCTGCAACTGGTCCTTTACCTGGTCATGACTCTTCTCACAGACATTCCTGCATTAATCACTTCATATTTGAACTACTGATATTACATTGCGTTCTATATGGGGCTGCCCTTGAAAACCACTGATTCATAATATAGCAGCATAACCATACCCTCAGTGCAAGCTGCATTGATTGCTGGTATGCTTCTGAATATTATTAGTTAAGGTGGTAGTGGTGGTAACCTGTAAAGTCCTTCACGGCATAGGTCATGATTACTTGAAGGATCACCTTTCTTACATCGCTTCTGCCTGCTTTGTAAGATCCAGCAGGTGTGCATGTTTTATGTCCTACGTTGAAATAATGTCATTTAATGTCAGTGCCATTTATTTTGCCTCTGGAATGATATCCCTTCAGAATGCTGTGTTGCCCCATCTGTCAGGATCTCAGACCATACAGGAAACATGACAAAATGAATTAATTCTACTTTTGTCAGCCCTTTCAACTAAACCAGACAAGAGACACAACTAGATGAACTAATTCTATTTTATTCTAAGGCTACATTAACAAAACCTAAGTCTCAAACTTCCACCATTTTTAACTGCTCACTCCATTAGGATGAATCCTTCCTAAGTTTCTCAGACTGTTAAATCACTGAGGCTCCTTCCTGTTTCCTGGGCAGCATCTCTTCCCCTCCCCAAGGGCATTCCATTATGTTCGATACCTGGTTCTCCAGGTTGATAAGTTGGTGCAAGCCCTAGATTCAGGGTGATGTGGGCTACAGCTTCACCTGTATATATTACTTTGATTCCCAAGCTGCTTTATCCTAAATCAGGGATGTCAAACTCACAACATCATGTGATGTATGATGTATTCTGACTTTTTTTCCATTGCCGGCAATGGAGTGGGCATGGTTTCAGCATGATGCTTCTCAACTGTGGGCCGACAGTTTGACACCCTTGTCTTAGATGCTCCTTTTTTGCAGGTGCTACTGAGAAAATGACTTGGGAGAATTGGTACCAGGTTTTCAGAGGTTATCTTTCCAACAGATTAAATTAAGTCACCCTGAATCGTTGGATATGAGATGGGGAGGCAAATAAATAAATTCTTTTGATTTTTAACAATTTCTAAAATTATAGAGATAAATTATAGGCATTTTGTTTTTAGAACTGAAATCATTGAAGTATGTATAGTAGATGATTCACAAACATTTCTTCCTACCCTAATGCAAAAATAATTAATTCAATATATCTCATTAGTTTTTGAACTGAAGCAAACATGTTAATTTATAAACAGAATGGGGTATCTGTTACATTGCCATATTATTGGCAGTTCAGTGATGCAAAGTAGGTGACAAACAATTGAATAGAAAACCTGCATGTACATACGTTAGTCTATATTTGTTCTATGCTGAACATACTAAGGCTATGTTTGCTATTTGCTATGACAACTCATGTTTCGAAACAGAATTAATCTAATATTAACAAATTTAAATATTAAAAATTAATTTTGCTGTTTTCTCACAAGGTTAATCTTTATTTAGCAATCCATATATAGGTGGCCAGACTTGATTAGTCTCTTAAATTCTCCATGAGGCTACTTCACTGTCTTCAGCTAAATGACAATCTGCCTGTCCAACTCTTAGTAGCTGTATCAAAGGTGTGATTCCAAACTATGCGACCAGTTCTTCTTGCCAGTGTATCCCAAGGTGCTTTTTAAAAAGGCAACTAGACTTTACCAAGAAAGTCCAGCTGCTTTTTGGAAAAGCACTTTTGGGACAACCAGGACCTGGATTATTGAGAATCTTCATAGACATTTTTGCCAGTGTGTTTCTAAATTTACTTGAAAGTCTTAGTTTTAAGTTTTAAGATTTAATACTTTAAATATTAACCGGGTAATCTGGTTGAATTTCTGCTTTCATTCAGGCAATCTGATCATGCTTTGAAGTTACCAAAGCTCTACTTAAATATTCCTTCCTGAGAATAATTAGATTGTTGCTCTGAGGTTGACAATAACCCCATGCCTATGAAACTCTTAAAATATGTATTTATTCTCAATGGTTGTCTCCTAAATATTTTATTGAACTACTGAATATAAATGGTTTTAAATTATTAGATTTTAATATTTATATTAAATTCAGTATTTTTATCTTACTGCTATTATATTTGCACTTTATTTTCTTTTTGAATTTGCTGTTATTCGTGTTTTATTAATGACAATCACACTCAAGGTTCAGTTTTCTGTCAGTCAAGTGACCCATAAGTAATTAAAGATATGTACATAAAAGATTATTTTACATACTTCACCAGATTACTTTTTAATTTTTCATGTTTCTTCTCCAATAGTCATTGGAAGAGCTGAAACAAATTCATCATCATATTTTATAGGTCGTGTGGGTGATTAGCTCCTGCAATTAATGTCATCCCAAAACTCCAGGAAAACTTACCAGATAAAAACATTGATATTTGTGTGTGGTGGGGAACCCTTTAGAACAGTGGTTCTCAACCTTTCTAATGCCGTGACCCCATAATACAGTTCCCCATGTTGTGGTGATCCCCAACCACTTATACATCACTGGGTGCCAGGGGCCTGGCCAAAGAAAAGGGGGAAAAAATGGCGGACAGCCTTGTTTGGCGACCCCCGTGAAATGGTCGTTCGACCTCAAATGGGGTCCCGACCCACAGGTTGAGAACCACTGCTTTAGAAAATATAATGTCTGAAATGTGAAACTCTTTGGAATTTTCCTTCCTTTGTTCTCCCTTTTTAAGAGAAACCTGTATGTATTTATTGTGCTTCTCCCGTTATAAGTTGTAGATTCTAGATTTCAGATTCTGAAGGTCAGCTATATTACCAGCCACAGCAGAAATAGCTGAAGCTATTGGAAAATTGAGTGTTAAAACAGTAACCTATCAATGATATTAATGACAATCTCTCATTATAAATTAGTGAAATATGCACCTTAAATTTATTTAAGAAAGTTAGGGAATACTGTTATTTCTTAAAACACTTTATTGCAAAAAAGGAAATTGTGCTCTTGATTGAATTCCTAAACTATAATTAAGTTCAGCATTATTTAAAATTTAGGTTTATAATGCCACCCAGTTCAACACTTGACTCTGGGTAGTATACAAATTAAAAATAAATGTAACCCTTAAAAATGAAATATAAATATGTAGGGGAGCTGAAATACAGGTAGTCCTTGATTCATTGAATGTTTAAAATTACAGTGGTGCTGAAAAAATGGATTTACAACCTCTGCCTGAAGTTATGGCCATTGCAGCAACCCTGAAGTTATGTGATCTGGTACTTGGCAGCCACTTACATTTACGACTGCAGGGACTCTGCAACTCTCCCCACCTAACCCTCCCTTCTAAGTTATGTCCTGTTAGCTGCCCTGCTAAACAGCATTTGTTGGCAGCAGTAGCAGCAAAGGTCTGGAGCTGAAGTAATCAATTGAGCAATCTCAGCCAGCTGACACCACCCCCAGGTCTGTATTTGGTGAATAAGGCTTTCAAAGGATTGCAAGAATGAGATGTCAGCTTGGAGAATGGCTCAAGATGTCCTTGGTAAGGACTGGCACAGCCAGCAGCTGTCTCACACAGGCTGGAGAAAAAGTCAAGTGTGTTGGGAAAGAACTTGTGGAACATAGAGAAATGGCATAAATGGGGTTTTCTGAATGGTGCTAGCATGGAGGGCCATGGTGTGGAGCCTGATGTGACATTTCTTTAATGGCAATAGAAAGTCAATGGATGACGTTGAGGCCTGGGAATGCTGGAAGTTAGTTGAGACAGATGAGAAGGTATTCCCAGTTAAGGAAAGGGCACAATTGGTGACGAATCTGAGCAAAAGCTTTCTGTCTTTGAGTAGGAACTGTGAATCCAGAAGACCAAGATTGCACACCGTTATGTATGGAAAAGTACCACTCCATTCAAAACCAAGTACTAGAACACTCATGCACCAATAGCCATTCAGTTTTGTCACAGTACTGTATATCCCCATGCTCTACTCAATCCAATTTTATTAAACAATCAAATACAAAGAACATTCCAACTCAAATGAACCAGATAAAGAATTCAAAGAACAGGTTGTACCTTTCTGTAAATGTATTGTCTAGAATAGGAAGTGATGCATGGTGTTCCAGATGCAGCCCAACTCTATTTTGTACATCTCTACTGAGAGCATTGGTTGAACACATTAGTTTTTATTTACTAGATTTCACATGGGTTGCTAAAACACACAATAACAAGATTCAATAAATAAACACATTTATGGTTTAGCATGTTTTATAAATCCAGGAAATTCATATATTATGTAAAGGTTGATTTGCTTAAAAATGGTAAAGGCTTTGTTTTTTCATTAAAATCTCAAATTAGGATTGTTTTTTCCTCTCTTGGTTGCCTTCCACGTGCATTATTTTGGTCACATAGATCAGGAAGTATCCTGGTTGCTCTAGAACACCTGTGGGAGTAGCATTCATGCTTTTGGGGCAAGGTTTGGTTCAAATCTTGCAGCATCTGACCGTAACAACTTTTATACCTAGTAGAAAAAGTGAATGGAAAAGAGAAGTGCAAATTGTTCTAAGAAGATACAAGTCATGTAAGAAAAGATGGTTCAATTAATTATAATCAGCACTATTTTTTTTTTACAAAATATGGAGCCATACCAAAGACAGGTTTCCATTCCTTTATGACAATTGATATTATGTCATCTATCATTTTTGCCAAGGATCACTTTAGATAAAAAAGGTGCTATACAATTTATGCATAATCAATTTGCACCAAATGTTTGGAAATATGCCAAGCCTTCTGCCAAAATTCTAACATTTTCCTGTCAAAATCTCTTTCTGCCCTCACTCTTGCATTTACCATTAGGCTGTGTGGTTCTAATATTGCAAAATATCCTGATTCCCACTTACTTCCATAGCCTAAATAGTTAAGATAGTCCTTGACGTATGACGATAGGGACTAGATTGTCTGCTACTAAGCAAGGCAGTTAAGTGAATAACACCCAACCATTTTGCCATAGTTGTTAAAATCATTCAATTGTTAAGTGAATCTGGCTTCCCCCATTGACTTGGCTTGTTAGAAGCCTGCTGGGAACGGCAATCGCATGACTCCAGGACCCTGCAACCATTGTCAATACATGCTGGTTGCCAAGTCCCTGAATTTTTATTATGTGGCTGTGGTGATGCTGCAATGGTCATAATTGCCAGGACTGGTGTGGTTATTAGGTGGGCTTTTTCAGTCTGTTGTAAATTGGAACAATTGCTAAACAAATGGTTGTTAAGTCAACAACAATCTGTACAACTATTGCTGTGGGGTCAAAACTCCCTTACACAAAATGAAAAGGATCAGAACCTAACCCCAGAAACCAATTTGGATATGAGAGGTGGGTGAAAGATCCTCAGCCTTAGAATGAGCTTATCCTGGATGAACCTACTGAGCATACACCATAATGAAGAGAGCTAATAAAATTCGTTGCTTTGTCTGCCACAGAAGTGTATTCGTTGGAAATCCAGATGAAGAAAATGCTTTCCCTGTTCTTAAAAGCAGAGACAAGACGATATGTTTGAATAATAATGTACTGCTTAAGAATAAAGCTGTAAAAAACATATGCACAACTGAAGGTATTTGGCTGAAAAAGCTTAACACCATATCCAGCAACTCCTTTTCCTACTGGTTCAGCCTCTTGCGTTACACGATCTCTCTCCATGCAGGGTTATGGGGGAACCACGGAACCCTCTATATTCCTGGCTGCAGGATTCATTGTCCCGTTCCTTTACTTAAACGAATCCCTTGGGAGAGCATAGCGCGACTACTTGTGGCTAATGGCATGGAAAGGTGAAGCAACGCGGGGCGGTTTCAGAAGGGGGAAGCGGACATGCTCAGGAAGGGAAGCGACTTTTCAAGAGGAGGGGAAATGGGCCTTCCCAGGCCGAGGAAGGATGCTTAACGGCGATAGCTCGGTGGCCGCCGAGGAAGCCTCCTTCCCGTCCGTAGCGACCGCCTGGGTTTCCTATCCAGGCAGGGCCTCCCACTCCCTGGCTCCGCCTGCACCACATGACCGCTCCGTTGCCCGCAAACTTTCTTCTTCTCCTTGTCCCGGGGCGGCCGCAACCGAGTCTGGAAAATGGCGGCTTAGCAGCGTCGCCGCCGCGTCAATCCCCGCCTCTCCGCCCCGGCTTTCCCCGACGGCTGGCGGGCTCGGGCTCCCCTCAGCTATGACGCGTTGGATACCCACCAAGCGCGAGGAGAAATACGGCGTGGGTGAGCGCTTTCCCTCTCCCGCGGGGATCCCTCGCTCGTGGTGCGGCTGCCTGGCTGCTCCCGGCGAACTTCCTTGGAAGTTGAGGCTGCGCGGCTGAGAAGCGGGTCTCGCAGCCAAAGCGAAATCCTTCCCCGCCCCTGACGGGCAAGTGACTCGTCCTTTATCCCTTCTCTACCCGACCGCCTCACTGGGGCGCTTTTGGGGAAGGGTCGAGGCTGGCGAGAGAAAGCGGCTTCATCCCTTCTCAAAAGGCCCGCGCTGATGAGGGGTTGGGGGGAGGGATTGAGGGGCTGTTGTTTCGCTTTACTTCGCAGAAACAGGCGCGCTTCCTCTGCCGAGAGAGACTTCTATTTCCTACCTCCTTTATTTCCGAGTCTTTTTAGCGTCGTTTGGAGTATCTCTTCTTTGATATATTAGTTTTTTAATTGTTTTTCTCTTGATGCTTTTAATTTACACGTCCCCACGTCTTCCAAGAGTTTTTTGTTGGGGAAGTGAGGTCCAACTGAACTGCACTTTTCAGACCTGCAGAACAGAACTCAGTTTCTCCCGACATCCTCTTTCCCCATTACCTGCTGAATTCTCCTTTGAAAAGAAAGGAAGTGGAAATTTCGTATCCACTGTTTTTAAATCTTCCCCCCTCAGATTTATTTTGATATAGAATACATAAGTAGGAATCCCTGTTTGATATTGCTTCTATTTCTGGAAATCTGGCTAGTAATTGGCACCATAAACTGAATATGGAATCAGAAGTTTTTAAAAAAATATTCTCTGCAAATTTCCTGACAGTGAATTATACTTGAGTCCCATCACAGGACACACCGGTATCTTATACTGTAGGAACTCAGCCTGACTTGTTAGTGTTCAATGTTGTCATGAGGAGCCTGCAATTATATTGTCTTGAGCACAGGTATGCAGAAATAAGCATTCATTAGTGTTGAGATTATTACTAGATTAGTGAAACCTTAGTTGATTTATTGCATGATTTAAGTAATGGGTGAAATGAAATAAATCTGAATGAAATGGATTTATTCTATTAAGATGATGGTTACATTAGAAATTACCTCGGAAGTACTATTCTCCACTGTGTGGGAAAAAAGAAGAAACATTTAATCAAAGAAAGGACTTGCCAGATGTGCAGTTTTAAATCTGGAAGTGCAAGGGTACATTATTATCATTCCCATAAGTGTGTGGACAGATCAAACTAAGCCATAGTTTGTTGAATAATCCAAAATTAGGTTTGTAACCCTGATTTATTTCAGGTTTCAAAATACTGCTGTTATATTTGTAGTCTGAATAACAAACTAGGGAGCAATATTTAGGTTGACATATATTTTCAATTTATGCATTTTATGTGTTGCATCCAGAATATTGAATAATTTATTAAATCAGAATTAAGTTCAGAATGAACAAATATACCTTGAGAGCATAGTTTGTAGTTTTCTAGATGTGGCTGTGCTACATTTTTTAGTATTTTCCACTATTGCCAACATTTGAAGAAATGCACATTGTGCCCCCCCCCTGATATATTCAACTACCCAATAAAGAAGCTATTCATAGTTTCTGATGCTTTTTCCAAATCTAAGTAAAAAAATTATAGCAGTAGGATGTTGGGGATGAGGAAAGAGAAGTGCAAAATTGTTTATTCTTCTACTCTCATGCAGCATTTGCATTCACTCAACTTGAGCTCTTTTTCTTTTTTCCCCCTTTCTCCTGCCATGTGTCTGCTTTATTTGTGTGGATTTCCTATGCTGGGAAAGAAACTTAGCTGTTGTATCCTATTAATAGCTTCAAAATCTGATGCTTAGTGCTTGTTTTTAACAATATACATTATCTGTATAGTATCTAATTTCATTCATTAGGACTGTTGAAAGATAATTGAAATAAAGAGCATGAAATTATACAATAGTATTCAGTATTTATATTATTAGTAAAAATAGCAATGCTAAAAAACTTTCATGGTGCATTATTTATGGCTTTGTTTCATGTAATACCTGTCTTGTGCAGAAACCCACCCATTATTTTAACTGTTTGTTGCTATTCTCTAACCTGGTTCACCAAGAAAAGCTATTATTGGTGCTGTGAGATCTGGACTCAAACTAATAAGAGAACTAATTGAGGACAGAAAAAAACCGCTGAAAATTATAACTGCTGCTATCTAATTGTTCTGAGCGCAAATATAATAACCCTAATAACAATTTTGGTTATAGTAATTATCTTAGAATATTGTACCATGCTGTATTTAAAGTATTATTTATGCAATCACATGTTTTGTAAATCAACTATAGTTTATTTAATAAATTATCATTAAGCAAATCAAAGAGCGAATGGGGCCACATTATATGAAATAAGCTACATTTGGAAAATGTATTCTTGTTAAGTTTAGATAAAACAAGTTACATTATCATATATGATTGATGAAACTACATTGAATGGCTCCTATGTACCAGGAATCATACTTTAATTATGCATGGCCTCCGAAGAATATATGCATCTTGGCATCAAAGTGCAAACTCTGCCTCTTAAGTACTTTCATAGCTTGTCACCCATATTTTAATCTATTTTTTCCTTGAATCCATGTGTCCGTGCGGTTAGTTTATAGTTCATTCATTCTATTGTGTGAACCCAAAATTTTGAATTGATTAAATAAACTATGAATGAACTTCAGTTCTTCATTCTCTGATCAGAAGTAATGAATCACAAATATAGATAGTGCTCAACTTAGAATTCTTCATTCAATGACCATTTAAAATTATGGTAGCATTGAAGAAAGGGTCCAGTCCCCAGAATTATGGCCATTGCAGCAGTCATGTGATCAAAATTCATTTCAGGGGTGCTTTAGCTCCTCACCACCATTTATCTCCCCTATCTATGCTCTTTTGGCCCCGCTCCCATCCTTGCCATCTTGTTGCTCCTGCTGCTGCCAAGTCTGCCAGCTGCTGGTCACACACTTCCCTCCCCCGAGGGCACGCATGTGGTTTCCTCATGAAGGTGAGGCTCATATGGCCAGGCTGGGCACAATGCGGTCAGCAGTGAGAACAAAAAGATGGAGAAAGTCAGATGGAGCAGTGGAGTGTAGGGTGTAGAGCAGTGGTTCTCAACCTGTGGGTCAGGACCCCATTTGGGGTTGAACGACCATTTCATCGGGGTCGCCAAACAACGCAGTCCACCATTTTTTTCTCCCCTTTTCCTTAGCTGTGCTACTCCCTTTTATTCTATAGGCATTTGAAAGCCAATAAAATAGACTCTTTTGAATAGAGTCTAATTCTATTGGCTTTCAAAAGCCAATAGGAATTGTCCAGGCTGTCTCTGCCCTGCTGAGCCCGCCAAAAGTCCCAGTCTGCAAACGGTGCTGCACCAGTTGAGTAGTCTTCGACTTACAATCAGTTGAGTAGTCCTCAACTTACGACCGGTTGGGGGTCGCGGCATTAAAAAGGTTGAGAACCACTGGTGTAGAGCGACTGGGCTGGGATGGCTATGGCTTTCTAAATGGATGTGCCTTTGCGCTGCACTCTTGGGACTGGATTTCATGCTGCAAAGGGCTTCATTCTAAGTAGTGCTCAGGGGCTTCTTGCAGCCCAAGAGCTGTGGTGTACCAAGAAACCCCTTTACTTCACACTGCTGGGCTGGATTGGGACTGGGTTTTGTGCTGCAGCTTAGGGGCTTTTTGCAGCCCCAGAACAGCAGTGTGCCAGGAAGCTCCTAGGCCACAGTGTGGCAAGAATTCCCAGAGTTTTGTACTCTGGAGCTTCTTGCTGTCCTGCAAGGCAGGATGCAGGGCAGATTAAAGGGCAGAGATGGGGGAATAGATGGGGAAGGGGAGGAATTGAAGAGAAGCAGTCCTTTACCTTACCAAGGCTCATGACTGGGAGACACAGAGCCCCAAATGGCTTGGTTTGAGGTGGGTCTCAGCTAATGATTGGTGGAATTTAGTTAACGCCAATGGCGAGTGTGGGAAATGCTATTGCTAAGCAATTCAGTCATGTGATGTCTTGCTTTACAATTCCATCATTTAGAGATGGTAATTCAAGTGCTAATTGTGATCATAAGTCCAGAAGTACCTGTAGTTCAGAAGTGATGGAGACATGTATCTGTTTGTAATGTAGTACTGTTATAAGGCAATAAGATATCCGGATGATCTGTGAACAGGGGCTGGTTCTTTAAATAATGTCATTAAAGAACTCCTGTTTCTGAGTTATATTAGTAGATTCCCCCCCATTATCTTCTTGGTTGCAAATGATTAAAGGATATTAATAACATAGGGTTCATTTCATATGTTCTAACTGCTGGTAATTGCTAGAGGTGAACCTTGATTATCCAATTTAAATTAAGTATTTCTGAGGTTCAGATGTCTGTTACTGCTTTCACTTGATTAAATAAAGAATTAATTATACACTGACATTGTTTTCTGATTATTGACAGAAAAGTTTACTTACTTCTATATATACTACTAGGTTTGATTTTTGTGGTATTTATTGCTTGTATCATATCTATCCAGAATTCATTTTGAGGCAATATTTTTAGAAAATATTCTACCAGCTATAGAGTATCTGAGAATTCTTCATCGGGAAAAATTAAGAATTCCACATTTTTTGTGAGCCAATAGACCCATCAGAGAGCACATTGTGGCTAATCATACACATTAATTACCCTGATGACTGTAGTTAATTATAAAATATCTAATTACCAGTTTACCTTTGTCATTTTTCCTGGGAATATAAGTACATTTCCAAACAAGATGTTGACTCTAGCTATCTTTCAGGTTTTTTTAGATGTAGTTGAAATTGTACTATAATTGCTATTTTGACTTAGGCATAAGCTATCATCTTGTCAAGTTTATGGATGATACTAAACTACTCAGTATTGCAAAAAGTCAAATGATTATGAGGAGTTGTAGAAAGATCTTTTTAACCTGGAAGAATGATCAAATGACAAACATGGTTTAATTTAAATAAATGCAACATTATGCATATCGGGGCATTAGACACAAGCAAACACTGATAGGGCTTGGGCTAACAAACCAGTAAAAAGATCTTGGGGAATAGTGGATAGTAAAGATGTAAGCTGGGGGGAGTGGCAGTTGTGAAAAAGGCAGATTTAATTCTAAGGGTTATTAGGAAAATGGTTCATATAAAAATGTCATCTTTGTAATATAAAAATAGTTCTGGTTCCTACATTTGAAAAATACAAATAAACCTGGAAAAGGCACAGAACAAGGGAGTAAAAATTATCGTGGGGCGCAACCCCTTCCATAAGAAAAGGACATTTGAGATTCTTGCTTGGAAAAATAGGTGATTGAGGGGATATACGACTGAGGTGCATAAAATCATTTGTGTTGTGGAGA